CACACACACACACACACACACACACACACATACACGCATACACACAAACACACACAGACACACAAACAAACAAACACACAAACACACACTCACACACAGCGCACACTCACAAACTGGAGGGGGGCAGGGATGAAAAAAGTTCGTATGAACCGGAAAGCCTCATTATTTGAATTGTTTTAAAACTAAACAATGATCCAATAATGTCAACGTCCCCGTAAATATGTTAACAGTATTGTTCTGGCTGAAATATTGATTATAACTCCCAAATCACAAAGCCAAATTGGAAAATTTCGGTAAAAGCCCTCTCGGAAATTCTTTCAATGTAAGAGTCCGAAGTTATACTTGACGCTCACATAAAACAGTCTTTTGTTATTGGTAACGTTTGGCGTTATCGATGAGACTCAACATCTTATTAAGGGACCCGACAGCAAAGACCAAAAAAAAAAAAAAAAGAAAAAAAGAAAAAAAAAAAGAGAGGTAGTTGAGTAGATAAAATGAAAAAAAAATGAAAAGAAAAAACCAAAACAAGAATAAGTAAAAAATGAAACAACTAGTTGAGGGAACCATAACTGTTTACAGTGTCACCGTTTTGGAAACTATGGCTTTCGTAAGTTCGTGTTATAGTGCGCATGTAATGTACTGGGGAAGCCGGGAGCTTTCCCTGCTGGACGGATCCCAACAACGACAATTTGGGGTTTCACGAAACCAATAATTTGTATTTTATGGGGACACCTTTCAATGTCACAGGCACAACCGAGGTTCTCAATAAAAATTGTAAAACAATATTCTTCTCTGTTAGTTTTAGTTTTAGTAGAGGTTTTACGGCATAAGGTCATATGAGCGCCAGTAGATTAGAGGTGTTACAAGAGAGTAACAAACATAAAAAAGAAGAAGGGGAGATAAGGATGATAGATGTTCAATAGGAAAGAAGGAGCAAACCACACCAGAGCACCCGCCAACCACCCACATTCTTCTCTTTGTCGAAAGAAACAGTGTAAGAGGGGTATTTGGTCCGAAATTCACGCACCCAAGGCATTTCTGAGCGCGTTATCCAAATTAAGGGTGTTGGATACGCTGAGAGAAGGAAGGGTGTTGGCATTTTAATTATTGCTTAAAGTTACAATATCTGTGAAAACTAATTCGGACAATATAATAATAGCTAATGCCTTGGTATATTGCAAATAAAACTGGTAACGCTATATGTGCAAATCCAGAGTATAGATTTCACCCCCCCCCTTGGCCCTAAAATAAAGAGGGAGGAAAAATAGTAACACTTCATATTTGGTCAGAACATTGGATTCACTCGAAAGTGTCCTGTTATTAAATTTGGTTAGCCTGGACACTCCCCTTCCTTTTTTTCTTTTAGTTCATCATCACCACCACCATGATCATCATCATCATCATCATGATCATCACCATCATCATCATCATCATCATCATCATCATCATCATCATCATCATCATCATCATCATCATCATCATCATGGTCATCATCATCAATGCTTCTCTCACCCTGGATCAGGGTACTTATATTACCATATAGCCATGAACAAATACTTTCTGCGTTTCCATCCCAGGCTAGCATCTTGATAATTAATAGCATTCCATAACAATCTCTTTCCATTGCTTGTATTTTATAGTTGCATGTATCATTGAGTGAGTCAGTTTTGAATGGTGACGATGAGCGGAGCAGGCAAATTGCATACTTCTGTTATCTGAATAGCGTTATCGCGTCATCAAAGTTGCGCCTTGCAGTATAATTTGCTCACACTCATGCGAGTAGGACGATAGGGGATTTCCCGGGGTTTCCCACCTCTGTGATTGACGCGTATGACACTTGAATTATATCCGGGTTCATGGCTGGGTTTTGGTTCCAGAATAACTGAATTCTGATATACTGCATAACCATGATTTTTCCCGAGATTTCGAAAAAAAAAATCAACAACAGCAACAAAACCCCACCCAAACAACCACGCACCTGAA